AATCAAAATAAATACATTGAAATTTATCACAATTTGTACTCATGTCGAAAATCTACATATGTTCAAGCAAATTCATAAAGAAGAAATGTCCATTTTATATAGCTATATAACAATCGGGGTAAAACGTTAAAACGGCTGTACGAATTGGGCCAATCTTAGTTGCATAATTTTATATTCATTAGTATTTATAAAACATTTTCTAGATTATATAATTATTTTGGAATATAAATTTGAAATCGATCAAAGGGGACATTTTGTCGAATAACTTATTCGACCACATATAACAGACCACTACTTAAATAATAATAATCCATAACGAAACTTTATGATTTCCTTTTGTTGTTAGTTTTTGGGTTGTGAGCACTGTGATTTAGTTCACGAGACCTTAATATAAATTTAAACTATTTAATTGTTTTATAAAATGTAATGTTAATTTTGAGTTAGATTCAACACTTCAAAAACTTACATCTGTGTGGGGCAAAAATGACCAACTGAACATTGACCACGGCTAAGGATTAAAAAAGACTTGGATTGAATTATACCATATTTTTATAGAAAGTGTATAAAACTTCCAGTTTGATTGTATTAACAAAATATGGTCAAACGAATATTGTTATTATGAATTATATAATTTATTATTATCCAAGTAGACTTTGGAGTTTATTGTGTTTATAAAATACCTCATTGTCTGTACCATTCAAACTATACATTCTTACTCTCCTTAAATAAAGTATTCTTTTTTTATTTTTTAGAAGTTGCTTAGAAATACCTAACTTAGCAAAACAACGTTTGCCGGGTCAGCTAGTATATATATATATATATATATATATATATATATATATATATATATAAGTCGGGTTTTCCTTCCTGACGATATAACTCCAGAACGCACGAACCGATTTCGACAATTTTGCATTCGTTGGAAAGGCCTCGGGCTCCGCAAGGTTTATGATTAAGAAACTTAGTGGTGCATGGCATTGTGCGCTAATGCAAATTGCTGGAACTTTACGCACCGTAATTAAAAATTCGAGTAATGAAAATAATCAACAATTGTTCAAAATAATTTCAAATAGATTATCTACATATATATATATATATATATATATATATATATATATATATATAATAAGTCGAGTTTTCCTTCCTGACGATATAACTCCAGAACGCACAAACCGATTTCGACAATTTTGCATTCGTTGGAAAGGTCTCGAGCTCCGCAAGGTTTATAGCTAAGAAAATTAGTTATGCATAGCATCGTGCCTTAATGCAAGCTGCTGGAACTTTACGCACCGTAACTCGAATTAAAAATTCCAATCATGACATTAGTGAGAATTATCAGAATTATGCTTGGTTAAGTCAATGAGCAATTCTTACCGCAAAGAATAATGATGTACACGCACTGAATTTCACAATTAAATCAAAAATTGCTGCCGATTTGGTGACATACCAATGATTCCGACTGGTCTTCCGTTTGACTTCAAACGATTGCAATTTCCAGTTCGCCTTGCGTTCGCAATAACAAGTCGCAAGGGCAATCGCTTAGTGTTTACGGGATAAATTTCAATAAGATTATTTAGAAAATCATTGTTTTTCACATGGGCAGTTATACGTTGCCTATTCACGAGTTGGAAAACCATCCGCTTTGTTTGTGTTAACGTCAGACCAAAAAACAAAAAATGTGGTTTACCAAAAAGCACTTCAATGAAAAGAATTATTTGTGGAATCTCTTTCATTTAAGTTCAACTAAAAAACACTTAATTTTTGTAATCGAAATAAATTCATTGCTGTTGTATAATAAAATCACATTTTCCCTTTTCAAATATAAAACAAACATAAAAATTCTTCATCTTTCTCAAGAAACCATCTGGTGGCGAAACGGAGTTCGTCGGGTTTGCTAGTTGATTATAATAACAAGTGCCATAGATATTGTCTTTCGAGTAATAAACAAGTATAGAGACAATATGTGTTGATAGAGATCGGCCAAACCTAACATATATATACATACATATATATATATATATATATATATATATATATATATATACATATATATATACGTACATATATATATACGTATATATATACATATATATGTAATATTTTTGCAGCACAACCGTCAAATTAAAAAAAGATTAAATAACAAAATTATTTATTCCATTAAACGTTTCGACACTTGATGTGTGTCATCATTCAGTAATCTAAAAAAGCATATAACGTAAATACACAGTTGATGATAAATATAAATATATAAAAGGAGGAAATTATACATACCAAACCAGGAAAAACAACAGAAAACATTAATTATGATGTAAAATTGATTGTACACTAAGCTTGTGTAAAATAATAAAATACCATTATATTGCCCTCCCATATTTGATGTTATTGATAGCATTGCATTGTGGGCACTGTTCAAGGTTAAAAGTACAACAGTGTAGACACGCACGCGTAATGGAAAAGTGGGAGAGAGTTGTGAGAAACGAAAGGGGGAAGAGAAACAGAGAAAAAATATAACGAACGAAAGATTCTAAAAATGTATTGAATTACTTTTCATGAAATTAATGATTACTTTGTAACTGTCATGTAAGAGATGAGAGGAATTACGTTTGTTTACACAAGAAGTATTAAGGGATATAAGTAAAGACTTAACTATCTTTCTAAGGTCACAATTTTTTTCAATGTAAATGATTGAAGGATTTGACATGTTGAAAGTGTGGTTCAGGTTTATCATATGTTCAGAGAGCATCGTTTTGAATTGATTTGGATTTTTGAAATTATATATATGTTGATTAACCCTCCTGTATATGTATTGGGAAGTTTCACCAATGTAACAACTATTGCAATCATTGCAGTCCAACCTGTAAACAGAATCAGTAACCTTATCAGCGGGAGTTTTTGATTTAAGAGAAGAAAAAAGGCAACGAAAAGTGTTGTCAAAACTGAAAACCAAAAGAAAACCTTTAGCGGCAAATAACTTTTTAAAAAAATAAGAAAAGCTTCTTAAAAAGGGTAAACAAATAACACCTTTATATTTATCTAAAGGGGAAGAATTAGATTTTGAAAAAGAATTGCTAAGATTGAAAGAACTGTTTAAATTGTTTTGTAAAAACTCTAATCTATTTTTAATGACGTTATCAACTAAATATGAAGGATAAGAATTATTATTAAAAACAGCACAAACTAAAGATAGGTTTTTTTCCCAAACAATCACTTAACAAAATGGTTCTATCTATTAAGGAAATGACAACTGAAATGTTTATAGAACGAGAGTGAAAAGAAAAATAATTTAAATATCGGCCAGACCAAGTTGGTTTTTGGAACCAGTCAGTGAGGATAACATTATTATTTCTTGTAAGTTTTGAATCTAAGAAACTGATAGAATTACTAGGTTCAAGTTTACAAGTGAACTGCAAATGCTTATTAAAAGAATTAAAAGAATTTAAAGTGTGGGATACATAATTATTATCTAAACACAAGAGGATATTATAGATATGTTGATGACATCCTCTTATGTTTAGATAATGATTATGTATCCCACACTTTAAATTTTTTTAATTCTTTTAATAAGCATTTGCAGTTCACTTGTGAACTTGAAGCTAGTAATTCTATCAGTTTCTTAGATTTAAAACTTACAAGCAACAATAATGTCATCCTCACTGACTGGTTCCAAAAACCAACTTGGTCTGGTCGATATTTAAATTATTTTACTTATTACTCTCGTTCTATAAAAATTTCAGTTTCCTTAATAGATAGGGCCATTTTGTTAAGTGATAAGATTTTTTGGGAAAAAACCTATCTTTAGTTCGTGCTGTTTTGAATAATAATTCTTATCCTTCATATTTAGTTAATAACGTCATTAAAAATAGATTAGAGTTTTTACAAAACAATTTAAACAGTTTTTCCTATCTTAACAATTCTTATTCAAAATTTAATTCTTCCTCTTTAGATAAATATAAAGGTGTTATTTGTTTACACTTTTTAAGCAGTTTTTCTTATTTTTTAAAAAAGTTATTTGCCGCTGAAGGTTTTATTTTTGTTTTAATTTTTGACAACACTTTCCGTTGCCTTTTTTCTTCTTTTAAATCAAAAACTCCCGCCGATAGGGTTACTGATTCTGTTTGCAGATGGACTGCAATGATTGCAATATTTGTTACATTGATGAAACTTCCCAATATATATACAGGAGGGTTAATCAACATATATATAATTCCAGAAACCCGAATCAATTCAAGACGATGCTCTCTGAACATATGATAAACCTGAACCACACTTGGAACATGTCAAATCCTTCAATCCTTTACATTGAAAAAAAATGTTCCCTTAGAAAGATAGTTGAGTCTTTACTTATATCCCTTAATACTTCTTGTGTGAACAAACGTAATTCCTCTCATTTTTTACATGACAGTTACAAAGTAATCATTAATTGCCTAAAAAGTAATTCAATACAGTTTTAGAATCTTTCGTTCGTTATATTTCTTCTCTGTTTCTCTTTCCCCTTTCTTTTCTCGCAATTCTCTCCCACTCTTCCATTACACGTGCGCGTCTACACTGCGTTGTACTTTTAACCTTGAACAGTGCCCACAATGCAATGCTATCAATAATATCAAATATAGGAGGGCAATATGTGCTCCTCCTATTTCTCGTTTATTAATATAATAGTATTTTATTATTTTACACAAATTTAGTGTACAATCAATTTTACATTATAATTAATGTTTTCTGTTGTTTTTCCTGGTTTGGTATGTATAATTTCCGCCTTTTATATATTTATATTTATCATCAACTGTGTATTTATGTTACATGTTTTTTTAGATTACTGAATGATGACACACATCAACTATCGAAACGTTTAATGAAATAAATAATTTTGTTATTTAATCTTTTTTTTAATTCGACGGCTGGGCTGCAAAAATATTACAAATATGTATCAACGTCGACAAAATTATCATCATATATATATATATATATATATATATATATATATATACCTATATATAACTTACTAATTATAAGGTTCATCCGGCACAAAAGATGGATTTTTCTCACCGCTCATATCGGCTTCCTAATGAATCTAGAAAATCTTGTGGATCTGAAATTAAATGTAAATATATATATATATATATATATATATATATATATATATATATATATATATATATAGTGATGGGCGTTGAATCAACGAACGGTTATTTTCAACCGTTTCTTCTTTGTTAACTAACTAACCGTTTCGTCGCAACGAAATAACTAGTTGAAAATCAACTGGTTTCGAAGCAGTTGAAAACATGGCGGCCAGTTAGTTTTTTCAACGATATAGGAATTCGTTCGTTGTCGAAAACGAACGTAGGCAGGTACCTGCGTCGGAAAGGATCAACTAATACTATGAAAATCGCTTATTGTTAGGCTACTGCTTTTATAATATTGCAAATGTACATGTACATCTTAAAAGAAACTTGCAACACGCGCCAAATCGTTTAATTTTAGAAAATCAGTTACATTTATTATAGTTTTCAATGGTTAATATTTTTCATAAAAATCTCATAGCATTTGTCTTGTAATAATTTTTTTAAACTAAACCTGAAAATTGATTCTTTATTTTTCATAACATTTTTATGTAACTATATATTTTTATATTGCTATTTTTATATAACATGTAAATTCAATGTTTTAGTATACGGCTTTGCTGTAATGAAAATATTTAAGTTTTTTAAATTAAACCATTATTTATTATTAATAATAATAAATATGATATATATATATATATATATATATATATATATATATATATATGTGTGTAATAAATGTGACAATTCACATTTATTTATTTTTATTCATCAAATCAGTTGACAACCTCTACTTGACTTTTATAAGAACAAACTTCATTTCACCAACTTTCAATGAAACAGTTATTTCAACTATCAGTTTCTTAACGTTGCCAGCGTTGAATCGTTAAAAATAACTATAGTTGAAAAATAACTAGTTATTTAACTAGTTGACGAAACCCCGATAACCGTTTCGTTCGCAAAACCGTCAACGACCCACCTCTAATATATATATATATATATATATATATATATATATATATATATATATTATAATATTGTATGTCTGTCATTTGAATATAACGGCCAAGAGTGTCTATCCTGACGTGTATGTGCTCTATGGTGTGTCATATGTAGAGTGTCTGATCCCTTACGGAACAGAAGTATGTATCTATGTGCGAGTCGGAGTCTGGCGGTAACTTGAGTGTTGAACAGTTCGGCGTTGTGTTAATTTTGGTGGATTATTAAATGTATTTGTATGAAGTAAAAGGTGTTTTATTAATTACTTAATGCTAGAATAAAGCTAGCTTAAAGCTCAGAAGTGGGATAGGATCAAAACGTGGAGAATTTTATTAGAGAACATTATTGGTGTGGATTATTGAAATAGGCGATTTCAATAATCTTTTTTTTTTTGAGTGCCCGTGTTATTAATCAGGCGGGTTATAATTGCGGGGTGCGATAGAAAGCAAGGTGTGCTTCGCTATCGTACAAGTGCAGGTGATATTTTGTAAGTTTTGTGTGTTTGTGTTGTTGTGCTAAAGTGAGGTTAGCACGTGGGTAACCAAAATAAGAACAGAGTGGAGAGAAAATATCAAAAGTAGTGCGTGATATCGACGTCGGCGAGTCGCGGAGCTGCGATATTTGTAATTAAAAACTCGAGATTGTGAAAATAAAATAAGATTTGGTGAGATGGCTACTGGTGGTGATGCTGAGAGCTTGGTGCCCGAAGCCTTAAGAATGCTATCGTTGACGGACTTGATTGCCCTTATCAAGGCGACAACCAGCGACAAAAACGAGGGCATCTCGAGCAGCGAGTTGTTGGCGACGATACCGATATTCGACGGGTCGTCCGAGCAATGCATTGAGGCGTGGTTCGAACGGGTTGAAGCGGTCCGGGATGCATACGAGGTGCCTAAGAAAAAGATGGCGGTGCTGATAATATCGAAGCTGTCGGGGCGGGCGAGACAATTGTACGACAGTAAGGCAGAGTATGCAACATATTCATACGATGAGCTCAAGAGGGCGCTAATAGCGTTTTTCAAAAATGGAGAAGACAGGATGACTAGAATGAAACGCTTTGAGTCTCGGAGGTGGCGAAAGCAGGAACCGTTTAGCGCATATTTTCAGGAGAAGATGGCGCTAGGAAATAGGTTGGGCTTTATAGAGTCCGATTTGCTGGCTTATATGATAGACGGCTTCGACAACCCGCCACTCCAGGCTCAAGCCAAAATGAATCAATTTAAGGATTTGGCAACCCTGCTAGGTGTAATGAATGAACTGACAGCGGAGGAACGCGGATTCAATATGATGCCGCCTAAGAGGGTACAGCCAACAGTGTTTCCTAGAGTGGAACCACAAGGCATGTATCCTCCGATGAGGTGTTTTAATTGTGGCGGAGTGGGACATATGGCGTCCAGGTGCATCAAACCGAAGAATGATGGAGCGGCGTGCTACAAATGTGGCTCAAAGGAGCACCAGCAGAGGTTTTGTAAAATTGTCCGGAATACGGCGCAGGTGGCGCCGGACAGCACCACGCTATTAGTAAACCCCATACCGGCCTACAAGGTGAAAACGAAGGTGTTTGACGTTGAGTTCGATAGTGTGATCGATTCGGGCTCAGCGATATCAATTATCAAGCGGTCGTGTGTGCCTAATGGAGTACCAGTGGAGGCATGGAGCGCAGCAGCCGGGTTCGAGGGCATTAACCATGCGAGGTTAGATGTTGAAGGCATTGCGAAACTACGGCTGACGTTTCCGGAGCATGGGGCAGAAGTGCCACTAACCTTGCATGTGGTACCAGAAAACACTATGAATGCGGCATGTTTATTGGGGCGAGACATGATTCAGCACGAAGATTTGGAGGTAAATATTGGAAGGGGAGTGTATATAGTCAATAAAAATCCAGAGGTTAATGAAATATTGGCGATTGATGAGATAATTACAGACAGAGTGAGTTTAAATATATCGGAGGAAAACGACTATGGGGTGGTAGCGACAGTAGAAGGCCTGGTAAGAAAGGAATATTTGGAGAGTGAGAAACCGGACGAACCAGAGACTGCATTCGAAATGTCAATTGTACTAAAGCCGAATGCCTCACCATTTTATGTAGTGCCCAGGAGAATATCGTTCTATGAAAGAGGTCAGTTGGGTGCCATAATACAAGATTTGTTGGATAGGGGAATTATAAGGGAAAGTAATTCGGAATTTTGTTCACCGATAGTGATAGTACGGAAAAAGGATGGTAAAATAAGATTGTGTGTTGACTATAGGGAACTTAACAAACGGGTGGTGCGCGATCCTTACCCTAGTCCCAGAATAGATGATTGCTTGGACTCGCTTAAGTCTAAGAGGTATTTTACGAAGCTAGATCTGAAAGACGCTTTCTTTCATGTGGTGGTGGCTGAGACTAGTAGAAAATACACAAGCTTTGTGTGTGCACAGGGACAATATGAATACAACCGTATGCCATTTGGATATTGTAATAGCCCGAATGTATTTATAAGATATGTAAGTGACATTTTTCGTCGTTTTATAGTGAACTGTGAAGTGATAGTGTATATGGACGATTTATTAATCGCCACAGAAACAATTGAGGAAAATATTGAAGTGTTGCGTAGGGTGTTAAAAGTGATTAGTAGAAATAAACTAGAATTAAAATTAAGTAAGTGCAGTTTTGTGTTCAAGAGCATTGATTATTTAGGTTACCATATAGATGTGAATGGCATAAGGCCGAGTGATGCAAACATTGAGGCGATTGTAGATATACCCATTCCAAAGACATTCAGACAGTTGAGGAGCTTTATAGGCCTAGCCAGTTATTTCCGTAAGTTTATTAAGGACTTTAGTGTTAAGTGTAAGCCATTGTATGATTTGTGTAAGAATGGTGAAAGCTTTGTGATTGACGGTGATGTAGTGGAAACCATAAACAATATTAAGAATGAATTAGTGAATAAACCAGTGTTAGCGATTTACTCACCTAGTGCGATAACAGAACTACATACAGACGGTAGTGCGAAGGGTTATGGAGCAGTACTTTGCAAAAGCAGGCTAATGGGAAATGGCACCCAGTCTGCTACTATAGTAAGAGATCCACGTTGTCGGAGTCGAAGCTGCACAGTTTCGAATTGGAGATGTTAGCTATAGTAAATGCCTTGCAAAGGTTCCATGTCTATTTATTTGGAATTCATTTTAAGCTGGTGACGGATTGTAACAGCCTGAAGCTGGCTCTACAGAAGAAGGAAATAAATCCAAAATTATTGAGGTGGTCGCTAGTATTGTCGAATTGTGACTATGAGCTAGAGCATCGCGCAGCGGCAAGGATGCAGCACGTCGATGCACTTAGCAGGTGCCATGAACTACTAGTAATCGAGGAGAACAGCTTTGACCGAGTTCTGGCCATAAGACAAGGCCAGGATCCGTTGATTAGGCGAATTCGAGATGGTTTGGAGAGAGAACAGCATCAGCTGTATGAACTAAGGGACGGATTAGTGTACAGAAAGTTCAAGGAGAGGCTTTTATTTTTGGTACCGTCATTAATGGTAGAAGAGGTGTCTAGATTAATGCATGAACAGCTAGGGCATGCGGGCGTAGAGAGGACGGCGATGACATTGAGGAAACAATATTGGTTCAGCAATATGAACCAGATAGTAAATGAGGTTATACATAAATGCTTGAAGTGTATCGCCTTTTCAAGCTGGAAGGGTGAGTCTCGAGGAAGGTTACACAATTCCCGAAGGGTATGCTGCCTTTCAAGACAATTCATGTGGATCATTTGGGTCCACTACAGAAAACTAGAAAAGGCAATAAACACGTTCTAGTGGTGATAGACGCGTTCACAAAATATTGCAAATTATACCCATGCAAAACCACATCAGCAAAGGAGGTGGTTGGCTGGTTGACTCAGTATTTTGAGTATTATAGTGTACCGACTACCATAGTCGCGGACAGAGGGAGTTGCTACACGTCTGATTTCTTTAGGACATTTTTAGAGGAGCGAAACGTAAAAATAGTGCATATAGCTGCAGGAGCCCCTTGGGCGAATGGACAGGTGGAAAGAGCAAACCGAACAATCGTTCCAATGTTGGCGAAATACACAGAACATTTAAGCGGTTGGGACGCAGTTCTGTATAAGGTAGAATACGCCTTGAATAATGCGGTGTGTAAGAGCACGGGTGAGACCCCCAGTATTCTATTATTCGGAGTGACACAACGGGGAGAAGTTAAGGATGAAGTGAGAGATTATCTGCTGCAGAATGAGTCGTATGACAAGGACGAAATTAGAAAGCAGGCAGCCCAAACGATAGAAAGGGGGCAAGATTATAATAAAAGATACCATGATAAGCGCAGTAAGGAGGCGGAGAAGTATAAGATTGGAGATATGGTAATGATCACCAATGTGGACACTACTATTGGTGTGAACAAGAAATTGTTACCAAAGTATAAGGGACCATATTTAGTTAAGAAGGTGCTGGACCATGACCGGTATGCCATAGGCGATGTGGAGGGATTCCAAGTAACGCAGATGCCAATGGAAACCATAATTGATCCAAGCAGAATGCGATTATGGTTTAGGCCAGAAGAGGACTATGGCCTCGAAGGGAGTGAGGGTTCTGAACTGGAAGAAGAACAGACTGATGTGAGTAGTGAGGGTGTTGTTAGTGACAACGAATGAACTTGTATCTAGGACTAATCGTATGATAACAATAAGTGTATAAAAAATAATAGGCGTATAAGGACAATAAGTGATGGCGACAAAGTTGGTAGAGACAATAAGTGAATGAAATATGATTTATGTTGTAATGGTTTATGATTTTGTTGTAATGGTTTTATGATTTGTGTTTAATATTAGATTTAGATTACTGTTGTATTAGATCTCATCAGTCGGGGACGCCTGTGAGGTCAGGATTGGCCGAACTATAATATTGTATGTCTGTCATTTGAATATAACGGCCAAGAGTGTCTATCCTGACGTGTATGTGCTCTATGGTGTGTCATATGTAGAGTGTCTGATCCCTTACGGAACAGAAGTATGTATCTGTGTGCGAGTCGAAGTCTGGCGGTAACTTGAGTGTTGAACAGTTCGGCGTTGTGTTAATTTTGGTGGATTATTAATGTATTTGTAGAAGTAAAAGGTGTTTTATTAATTACTTAATGCTAGAATAAAGCTAGCTTAAATAAATATATATATATATATATATATATATATATATAACTCGTATATATAAGGTTTTCAAATA